ATGCTAAAACTGTTTGATGGAGCATAGAAAATGCTATTTGTACAAAGCGGTACAGATTTGAGCTCTGCATGTGGTGTGGAGTGACAAGATTGTGTATATCAAGCAGATCAGTTGCCAGATCTCCTTGGTTACTTGTGGAAAAGTGGATGAGCCTGACAAGCACTTTTATATGGTTTTAGGACAAACTGGGCTGTTACTGTTAATGTCACTGTTAACAAATTGCCAGAGATTTAAAATGTTTACGGTTGCTGTATTGGCACATCAAACTTATCAATGGATTAGTTTTTCTGATCAGCTTTACGGGTCATCACAAAGGACTCCTCGGAGGTTTATTTCCACCTTTTTAGTCTGTGCACTTTGTAGGTATTATGGGCATCTTCTCAGCTTTTTTCAATTGATCCTCAGATCAATTAGCAACTAGTAACCAAGAATCATCCAGATCGCCTCCTCTCCTTTGTAACCATTTTTATGTTCCATCTCTGCAAATTAAGAGCTGTTTTTGTCTGCCTTCAGTGTCAGAAGCACTGCAGAGGTGTAGAACATTCTCCAAGGACATCAATCTACATATTTCAACCTTATGTCATGCTGATTTCCTGGAGGCTGAGAATTTTACAGTTCTAAAATGTAATACTGCCAGGAGTATGGCTGACAATAACATTGCCGATTACATGGAGAGTAGCACTTAAAAATCTGTACCGGCGGCAGATAACTGCTACATTTTATAGAAACGTTTTCGATTAAAACAGCTAGGTGATCCTTAAAATTAATTGTCGGATTGTAATGACCAAGTAGCTATAAAAAGGTCAGCAGTTCAACCTGTCTAAAACTTGAATTAAGGTATTTTTTCCACGGATGTCCCCTTGCACAAAGGTGAATGAAGTTTGATGCAGTATGTGGTCTTACTAATTGCCACCGGCAGTCTTTACAAGCTAAGAGGGCAGGATTCTAAGTTATTTGACAAATATTTTTCCTAACCTGAAACCCACTTGTCCTTAAGCTTGTACTGTTTTCACTCAGATGCAAACAAATGGCCTTCCTTGCATGACCTTTTCAGCCTTTATCACAATCACTGGATATTGATTGTGATTAGACCTAGAGCTACAAACACTAGTAGAGAGTTTGCTTTATCTTGCAGTGAAAATTTGATTTCTGCTTTCAGCTACTGATGGTTCATACAGTATGTCTTTTAAAGGCTGTTGTTTAAATGCTCCATTTTCAGAAGGTATTTTAAATATGTATTGAGAAATGTTCTTTTTTTATTAAAGCTTTGCAATGGTTTCTGTTCTTGTGGTTAAGTATAGTGGTGCTAACATTTCTATTAAATATTTTATATTTGTTGGGCAGAGTTGTTAATAAATCTGCCCTATAACATTAAGTTAATGTTTTAGTTTTGGAACTGTTTCTAAAAGATACAATCTCAGAAATAGAAGCAAAACTATTTGTGGTTTTTGTTTGAAAAAATCATATTTTTTTTACTGTGGGGGGTGGTGTTTTCATCATCAGTCCTGACATTTCCTTGTAACTTAGTCTACATGGAATTAATCCGTACTTCATTAGGAATAAAGCCCGTAAGACTAATCATTACTTTTCAAATGTATTTATTATTAAAGCATTTTTAATTTAAAATTGAAATATAATTGATTAGAAGTAAACTCATTTTACTTTACGAGAGATTTTACGTAGATTTACGAGGCAATGCTTTTTCAAACTAAACGTCAGTAATCATCATTTAAAGAACCAGATCTTCCTACAGGCAACCTCAGCAGATAAAGTGGTGTTATTGAGAACAGATATGTTTTTCATTCCACCTCATAAAAGCATGAGCTAGATATGCTGACAACTAAATTTAATACAGTATTTAAATTTAATTTAACAGAAAAGTCTTTACCTTTCTGCTTTAAGGAACCTTTGATTAGGAAGTGCAAATTACATTGCACACTGTCAGTACATGAATTGCAGTGTTTTACAAAAATATAATTTTACACTAAATGAGCTCTGAAGATGTTATCTTTTCAGCATGTAAGTTGAGAGATTTTTTTTTGTACTGTAAAAAAGTACAATATTCTGTGGAAATAAAATCATCAGCTAGACTGCATGATGATGGCAAAAATGGTAAAAATGGTGAATTATTTTCTAAATGTGGTGGCAGCCAGGTCTGTCCTCTATATTCTCCAAAAATTACACAGTGTGGATGTTTGCCTGATAAACCACATTAGAGGTGAACAATTCTAGGAAGGCTTGGGCTTTAAGGCATTAATTAGTTTGAATAAATGCATACAGAGATAGTATCATATTTATTTCATAATATCATACACATAGATGAGAAAGCCTGCATCACAATTACACATCAATGTCGGCAGCACATGATAAAGAAAGCGAGATGCAAAAGTATTAACTTAACAAGGGATTTCAATAATATTTTTCTTTCTCTACACATGGTCTCTGAAATTCTAGTCCTATTTGTTACTGAATTATACAAATCATTGTGAGAATATGAATATTTTTCATGTCTTGCAAATATTTAGCAATAATCTTTCTTTGTCTTTTATTTAAACCCCTCAACAATATGATTAATTCCATAAATCATCATCACCTCTTTGTAACAATCACATATTGTCATTTTAATATTGTCACGGTTATAATAATTTATTCATGAATTATATATAATATAACTAATATGCGACTAAATAACTTTAATCTGTAATTAGTTTTGTTCTAGAAGAATCGGTTTTAAATATTTGACCAAACACAATCATACCAAGAGCTTTTCTGAACCAGCTGTAAAAGAAAGCATAGACAAGAGGATTAAATGTAGAATTTAAGTAGCCTAACCACAAAAGACTGTTAAATAAAACTGATGGGACTGAATAATTGAATGTAGCGTTCAGGGTATTACACAAGAAAAATGGCATCCAGCAGCAGAGAAAGACCCCCATCACTATGCCCAACGTCTTTGCAGCTTTTCTTTCTGTCTTGCTTGAAGTTGTTTTCCTGCTGTCTTCGGAGGTCTTACTCTGGGATACGAGGCCTTGAATTGTCCTGGCTTGCCTCCTTGCTACAAGGAAAATTTTCGAATAGATGCCTATCATGATAAACCCAGGGATGTAAAAAGAGAGTGTGGAGGAAATAATGCTTGATGCTTCAGTCTGTATCAGTTTACAGCTACCTATACAATAAAATGTGTCATAGTAGACATCTTCCATTCCCATTATATTTAACTCTAGAAATATCATTCCAAATCCAGTAACAGCTGAAATACTCCAACTAACTGAAATCATGTAAAATGCAACACAGACGTTAATTTTAGTTTTGTATTTTAGCGGTTCACATACAGCATAATATCGATCAATTGAAATGAAAGATAGATGCAAAATTGTAGCAGTACATAACATAACATCTAGACTCTCTTGGATTTTACAAAACAAGTCACCGTAATACCAGCAGGATTCAAG